CCGCAGGGTGGTTCCGGGAAGGCCATTGACGACGGATGCGTATTCTCATTTCGAGAATTACGGGTTTCTGGGACCCTTCGTCGATCAGGAGTGGTTGAAGGTGATATCACTCAATGTACCATACTACCCAAAAATGGTACAATACTTCTACAACAACATCTCCTACGAGCGCAATGCAAATGGATCCATTCACGCATTCAAATCCTATGTGAATGGGGTGACGATGCGCATCAGCAAGAATGTGTTGGCGCAAGTACTGGAGGCTCCAAACGCGGGGAGGAGAATCAATTCTTACGGTGCTTGGAATGAAACGCATTACACGAGAGCCAAGCAAATCCAGACCGTCTGTGGTCTTGATGAAGAGGAAGATGCTCAGGGGCGCAATAGGCCATCGAGTAACCACCTGACAGTTCAAGCCAGAGTTCTTCACCACATGCTTTCCTACAACATTCTGCCAAAGGGTGGACATCGGGAGACAGTCACCTACTTCGACATGGAGCTCCTCACCAACCTACTGTTAAACGAGAAGGTGAACTTGCCATACTTGATCTTTAACCACATGCTTACTGCTGCTGAGAGTTCAAACAGGAATCTTCCCTATGGGATGATCCTCACTGTGATATTTGAGCATTTTAATGTGAATTTAAGTGAAGAGGTGGGGTTATCGATGTCAAGGCAGGAGTTCTATACTGTTTCATCTCTGAAAAAGATGGGCTTTGAGCTGCGTAATGGTGAGTATGTCAGAGCAAACATTGCTCATGCTGGTGGTGGTGATGATGATGATGATGAGGATGATGATGGTGATGATGGTGATAAAGGAGCTCGAGACGAGCCAATGGGGGAGGCACAGACTTCAACTCCACCGATCACCTTACAGCGTGTGTGGGAGCGCATGGATGGCATGTACGAGTACATGTGCAAGATATCCACCCAGATGACTGGCATGTACGACTACATGGGGCAAATGAACGCCCAGATGAGCACAATGCAGCTGAGCGTGAATGAGATGCGAGATGAGTGGCGATCTTTTAGCGGAAGATACATGCATCCCACCACATCTGACCACCATGCTACCACCACCAATGAAGAAAATGAAGAAAATGTGAATGAGGGAGAGGGGGGAGATGAGTAGTTTTTAGTTTTATTTTTTTAGTTTTATTTTTATGTTATTTTTTTAGTTTTATTTTTATGTGTGAACAATTATGCTATGATGGTTTTTTTAGTTTTATTTTTATGTGTGAACAATTATGCTATTTTATGTGTGTTTTATTTTTAGTTGTTATGCTATGGATTGATGAGTCCTTGTTATAATTGACTAATTATGATGGTTTGAAACATAATTTATACGATTAAATTAACCACACAAATCGACATACATAAGCAAAAAAGACACGGGGCATAGGTTGACTTTCTTGTATTCGGTCGACCTCGTACCGGATTAGGTCGACCGAGAAACCAACACTTGATCTCCATTTTACGTCAAATGATTCGTCACTTTGATAGAACACTTATCTTCTATCTGGTCGACCTCTTTCCTTATCCGGTCGACCATTTTGTTAATTACTGCCATCAAGTGGTCGACCTATATATTAGGTGGTCGACCATGTTGTTTCTGACGCCAACGAAATGGCCGACCGAGGTTTTATTCTGGTCGACCAAAAATACCAAGTTAAACTAAATGCGGTCGACCGCGTGGTCGTGGCGGTCGACCGCAACGCTTTCTCGTGATGCCCAAATTGGTCAATTCGGTCGACCTCCCTCAGGAATAGGTCGACCGAAAAGTGCATGTCAGCGTGACATGCATGTCATAGTAAGCATACCCAATAAATTAACCATTAGTTACAACAATTTATACTAAACTTGATAAGTAATCTTTGACGGTTCGTTGTTTAGGATATAAAGTATATGGTTAGGGTATTGGGTATAAGGTACATATGGTTTAGGGTGTATATGGTTAGGGTATAAGATATTGATGATTTTGACGGTTCTAAGTTTTTTTATTAACATATGTTCACTTGAAGTCATTTGAAGTCTTTAACGGCAGGAGATCCCTTTTGAATTTATGTTTATGGTACGTGGTTAGGATACAAGGTATGTGGTGTAAAGTATAGGATATATGGTTAAGGTATAACAATTAGCAAATATCACTTTTTATCTATGTTTTGAAAATCAAAGTATGAATTTCACTTTTAAATTAACTATACTAGCAAAATCACAACTCAAAGACATATGGTTAGGGTATAGGGTATAGGGTATAGGTTATGTGGTTAGTGTATAATGTATTGATGGTTTAGGGTATACAATCAACAACATATACTAACTTAATATTGTTGATTGAGGGTAAGGCTAGGTGTATAGGATATATGCTATTGAGTAAGTTATGATTGAAGTCACAATAATTTTACTAAATTTGATAGCTAATATTTAATGGTTCAATTTTTAAGATAATTCAAACAATTTTACAAATAACTCGTTTGGCAACAGTTTACTGAAGTTATTTGGGCAATGATTTATTTTGAAATAACTCCTTTTATCACTATGCTTTTGCAAAATACCACACGCCAAATACCAGATTTGCATGGTTATACTAAACGAGATACTTTAATCCAATTACTACTGAATTAATACTAAAATATCAAATAAACAAATTATGGTGTCTTTTGGTTGCAAATATTGATATCACCATTACTATTAGCTATAATACTTTACCAATTATGATTAATTACATAACAAGTTTGCAAGTCATACAAATTGATTTAACATTTTGACTAGTTTTTTTCAAAAAAATAAAGTATATATATACGAGGTAGAAATAAATTGGTTAAAAAGTTGAGAAAATATTTTAAATTAGTGTAATAAAATGTGTAAGTTAGTAATGAGTAATGAGTTAAGCTACTTGATGCGCTGGCCCGAACAACCCGAAACCCAACCCGCCCGCAACCCGCCCGATCCAAAACCCGATGAACCCGCAACCCGTTTGAACCCGAACCAATGAACCCGCAACCCAACTAACCCGCAACCCGTTTGAACCCGAACCCGATTGAACCCAGCCCGAACCCGCTCGATTGACACCTATAGTTACCATCCTAGCTATACTAGGATGATATATTTGGTCCTGAATTTTTTTCCTGAAATTTGTAGATAACAATATATCACGATGAACTCGTTACTTATTTGCAATTTTGTAAATATTTTAGTTAAAAAAAAGTTGATATAGTGTAGTACCAGGTGGCACCAAGGTTGAAACGAGTAGTAAAAAAAAATACAAGTCACTTTAACTCATCCTTTATATATGGCCACGCTAGAAACCAAAAGACCATATCTAATTATGCACCCTAGCCTAGGGATTGTTTGGATGGGGAATATTGTGTAAATGACTGATTTGGGTCCAAAACACTCATTTAAAAACCTAAGCATTCGTCATAAGAGATTTAGGGTAAACTCCTTGTTTGTTTATAGATTCAAGCTTTCATTTAAAAGGGTAAAATACTATTTTATCTCCTATTATCTTTCCCCCATTCACCCATTTGCCCACCATCAAAATATGTTGTGAAGCCTTGCCAACTTCCTCGATCATGGACTCCTTTAACTGGACGAAGTAGTGGAGGAGGATTGTCGGCATAGAGGTGAAGGCGGCTGGTCCTGCTTATCGACGGAGTTGTCGGCGGAGAGCAACCTTCCAGCTTGTCGCTTGATGACGCTCAATTTATAGTATTTTTCATTCTCATATTTGATACATTTTCTCCTCATATCAATGCTTTTATAGTATATTTTCATATATTTTGTACTTAAGTTGTAAATATTTGATTAGTGAGCATTTGATAGAACTAGGTTGTATTTTGTACTCTTTTATGCCTTTTTTATATGTTTTGTGTTTTTCAAGGTAACATACAATCTAGGCGGATTTGTATCAAGCATTGGACTAATTTAGAGGACCAAAGGAGCAAAAGAGAGAAGAATAAGGAGTTTTCCTGCAAAAGACGAGGTCCAATTAATGAGTGAGAAACCTATTGGGAATCACCACTAGAGCTCAGGAGGAGCCCAATGGGGGTAGACTCGGCCCAAGTCGAAGCAAAAATCAATGACAACCTAGCGTTGGGTTCAACCGTCACTTAACAAACTTGGTCAAATCACAAAGATGTCTTCAGTAGAGGTTGTTTATGCGTTAAGGAAGTCAGCCCACAAAGAAAACTAGTGATGGTTCCAGCCACCATTCAGAGGCCCAAGCCCCAAAAAAATCCAAAAGGCCTTGCTTTGTCTCTAAGTCAGAGAAAACAAGTCCTTGTAGGGTTAGGAAGGTTGTGGCCGAGTTTTACCTCTATAAATAGGGAGCTAGACTCATTAGTTCAGTAGGCCCTAGATGATTTTGGTCTTTCACCAGAATCGAGGCGGAAACAGGTTACAAAAATCCATTCAAAAATTCTGTAGACATTCTGTTCGAGTGAAAGCTTAGCAATCGTACGAGAGAGTGCAACTAAGGAGATGCCTTCATCATCAATGGAGTTACCCTCCTTAGCTTCTATGTATAGTTAGTTCAAAATTGATTGCTTAGCAATGTGAACTCGTTTATCTTTATTTATATTTGATGTTATAATTTCATATTATGCTTGTGTTTATGCTTCTAAATTCGATGCCCATCACGTATATATGTGTAGACACCACATTTCGTCCGGGCAATTTACTAATTATGGCTACCAATTAAAAGGAGTTAAGAGCTCACATTGTTTTGGATTAGCAATAGCAAATCTTAAACCATCCTTTGCTTTGAACTTGGATCTTGGGGACATTTGTAATTATTTTTTCTTGATTAAACGAGGTTGGCTGGGCACAAGGTTAAACAAGTTTAGCAATATAGCTAACTTTTATAAATTCAATAGAGTTGTTATCCATCAACAATTGGCTTTGAGAACTTGGGCGTCGGTTTTAGAATGATAATGAAAGGAAAATAAACGAAAAGAATTTTTTTTAAAACTATCATTATTCTACATGGCAATTACTAACCTCACACAATTATAATTCATTGCAATTGTACAAAATAAAAGGACCTAGATCAAGCCCAAAGTCAACTAGCAAATCTTGTCTACAAAAATTGGGGTCAAGTCAAACCCAAAGCCCACGGTCAATGCCAGTCTACAAGTTAGGGACCAATCCAGGTCAAAGGCCAAAGTCAACTGGTCAAACCTAGTCAACATAAGTTAAAACCCAAAATCAACTCCCACCAAGCCCAATCCAACATAGGGTCTACTAACTCAAAAAAACCAATCAGAAAAGTACAGAAAGACTACTACCCTCAAAGCCAATCAAATTACACCACAAGTCTAAGCTATAGTGTGTTTCTCTATTATAAAAGAGAGCTTTGGGGGTACAGAGAAGAGGGAGCCTTTTTCTTCTTTCCCACGTCTCTGCTCACTATTCTTTCTTCTCCAGTTTTGTATAGACTTTCGGGTCCATGAAAGTAAACCCTATTTTCTTCTTACTTGCTCTTTCTTCTTCTTCTGGCTCAAAACCCACAAACAGACAACACCAAGAACATAACACAATCCCTCTTCAAAATCTCTGCTTCTTCTCCTTTTCTTCTTGGCTACAAAACACGCACAAACAAATCAAAGACAAAAGAACAACTCCACAAAATTCTCATTCCACAATTTTCATAGCCACGTACAACCACAAAGAGAGACAAGAAAGAACTCAAGTTTCTACTTCTACTATTGTTGCTTCTTCACAAACCCGCACAACAACAAAACAGGCTAAAAAATGGAAAAGGAGGCAGCAGCAAAAGGTTACAAAGGAAGCAATTAAACATCCACAGAAGTTGAGGAAAAGGATGCAGAGTCATCGTTAAACTACAAGCAACAAGGTTGGTATCTCATTACCTAATCATCACCATCATCTATCATTTCTCTACCACCTCTATTTCTACATCGCTTCAACAAAACGGTTTTAAGAGTAGTATCTACTTAATCGACACTTTAAGCAAAGCAAAAAATGGAAATTTCACTATAACGATGAAGCAATCAATTAAACCATATTACTTTACTTCCTTCCTACTTCTATTTGAGTTTTACTCATTCAAGCACTTCGATGTTTAGGCGCGTATCACAAATAAAACCATTTTTAGTTTGTCTCCGACTACTTTGCTCTACTTAGTATACTCATTTACAAAACTAAATTAACATCCAAATCATAAGTTAAAAAACATATTCGATTAACATAATCGTACGACTCGACTCAAACTTTTGGAGGTATATTCCAAATATACCAAAAAGCAATCAAGCAAAAGCTCCACAACTCCTCATCCCAAATTTCAATAGTCTTTCATCACAAAACAGAGCGCCTAAAACCAAAAACCAACTCAACACACGATTTCCATATTTGAATCACCTAACTACACTATCACCACAAACCAAACATATTTTCATCTATCATGTTAAAATTCATTTTTTTTAATTTGAAGCTTCATAATAATATTAAGTTGAATCTAGAACAACTCCAAATCTCATGTCCATTTAAACCAGATCTCCCAAAAACCCACAATTCAAAAACTTCGAAACCTAGATCAAGCTAATAAACTAGTATCGCTACTATATGTTCATCCCAAACAGTAGCCACAAACACACCACTGCAACCACTGAAATACTCCCCAATTAAACCGAAACACAATCCACAACTAAAAAAACTCACCAAAAGGAGATTTAACCTTCGTCGTCATTCTCGCCACCAGTGAAACTCAGGGCGCCCGAAGGCCTTCTTTTCCTTCCATTCCCCCTGCCTTCTTTACTTCTTCCATAATCGAAAACCTAATAAAGACAGGTCAGAAACTCGTTGAAATCCAAAATAAAATATACCAAAACAATAAAAGATAAAGCTTTACCCTAATTGCACACCGCTGCAGTCGGCGTTTTCCCCGACACTGGCGCCGTCATCGGCGTTGAAATCACCAGAGCTTGCTCCTTCTCCTCTCCTCGAATAGAAACCCCAAATTTCCAAACAAAAATAAAAATTAGATATGGAAAATTCAAAAAATGTGACATGCAAACCCGAGAAACACCTAACTCTCACCGCCGCCGGCCGACTCTGTCTTTTTCCCCCTTCCTTCTCGCGGTCGAAACCCAAAAATGCTTCGTTTAAAACCAACAAAAACCCACATTCAAACCATAAAATCGATATGCAATGGGAAGAGACATCTCTTACCTTCTATCTCTCCGCCATTACTGTCGTGGGCGTCATTCGCCGCCGTTGTCTCTTTCTCCTTTCCCCATGTTGTTTCCAAAAAAGAGAAAATAGAGAAAGGGGCAAGTCGGGAAATGGAAGCGGAGAGAGAATCTGAGATATGGGAGGATGTGAGAAGAGTTTTCGTGTTCTTTCTTACTTTTTTTTTTGTAGAAAACAGACGCAAAAAGCGTCTAGCTCTTATTAATAACCTTTTTTGTTGGGTAATTCCCATAACATCGTAAGAAAGCCACTGCCTAAAATATGGGTCACACTCATCAAAATGATGTGTGCCAAAAGGGAGATCATGACCCTTCTTAGCTAAGTAATCTGCAACAACATTACATTCTCTGAACACATGGGCAATCCTAACATCCCAGTCAAAATTCAATACTCTATTGATCTCCTGGGCGAGCAGCCCGTGTCTATTGTGATTATCATCACTACATCTAATAGTGGCGATGGCTGTTGCCGAATCTAGGTTGAGAGCCACTTTGCGGTAGCCCTTTCTCCACGCCAGATTCAGTCCTTCAATCGCCCCTTTTAACTCAGCACTAGTAATGGAACATGACCCCATATTGCAAGCGAAAGCTCCATGGCATCTACCAAGGTGGTCTCGAATGAGACCTCCTGCAGCAGCACTACCCGAACTCATCACAACCGAACCATCTGTTTGTACCTGCATCCATCCTTCCAAAGGCGGTTCCCAGGAAACATCCTTTTGGATATGCACTTTATCTTTCCCAGGAGAGCTCTTCTGATCGCAAATCTCAGACTATTTAATGACGTTGAACCAAGCTTCGATATGCACCAGTAGCCCCTCGTAAGAGAAGGTCTTCCCATCCATAACTTCCTCGTAGCGCTGCTTCCACAAGTTCCAGCAAATAATCCCAAATTGAACACCTCTATCATGATCAAGCGGATTATTTAAAAATCACGAATGGAAGTTGGAGTCTGCATTGTTATCAGACAACACCCTCCTCATTCTCCTCCAAATGCATGCATCCTCGTTACACGATCTGAGGATATGTTCCATCGTTTCTTATTTGTCAGAGCAGTGGTTGCAATTGCCATTGTTCGTCAGCTTCAGCTTAGCTCTTCTCTGGTTTGTGAACTGCAAAAACCAAAAGGAAATTAATAATAAAAATATCCTTGTCAATCCACGGATGGATCCAAAAACCAGTCGTGTGACCATTCCTCACACTCCATATGGAAGCACTTTTCATAATCGGCAAGTCTTTCACAAGCACCCTCCATAGGTTAGAGTGATTACTCTTTTGCATTGAGATAATCTCCCCACCCCTATGATTAAAATACTTACCTTGGAGTACTTTTACCCAAAGATTAGACTCATTGTTAACCATTTGCCAAGCACTTTTAACCATATAAGCAAGCAAATCTAAGACCCAAACCCCCTTGTTCCTTGGGTTTACAAATTGTTTCCTAAGAAGCAAGGTGAGCTTTACGTTTCCCAACTTGGGAAACCCACACAAATCCTCTAATTTTCCTATCAATCTCCTCACACATAGAAAGGGGGAGGGGAGAGGACTGCATGGCAAAAGAGGGGATGGCATTAAACACTACCATGGCCAGAGTCACCCTTCCTGCTAAGGATAAGGTCTTGGCTTTCCATCCAGACATCTTACGGTCCATTTTATCAAGGATATACCTATAGGTGTCCCGGGTCAGTCTACCATAGAGAACAGGGACTCTAAGATACCTGCCCAGATTTGTAGTAGACTGTATCACAAGGCAAGCAAAAACATCTTTACGGCACTGGCTAGACACATTCTTAGAAAATAAAACCCTACACTTATCTTTGCTAATCAATTCACCAGACGCCAAACAAAAACTATCCATACATCGCATGATCATATCAGATTGGGGACAGTTGGCTTCAGCAAACAACACAAGGTTGTCCGCAAACAAAAGATGAGACAAGGCATGTCCCTCTTTAGACAGAAAAATAGGTTTCCAGTTTTCATCCACAACTTCTCTATGAATAATATGACTTAGTCTTTCAATACACAACGTAAAGAGGTAGGGTGAGAGATGACATCCCTGACAGAGGCCGCGACTTGGCTTGAATCCCTCTGAGGTTCCTCCATTCCAAAGGACATTAAACTCCATTGAGGTGACACATCCCATAATCAGCCATATGCAGTCTTCAGGAGATAAGCAAGTCTCAAAGTTTCTTCCAAGAACTTCCAGTCGATGCGATCATACACCTTAGCCAAGTCCACTTTTAGTAGCATCAACCCTTTCTTTCTCAAGTTGAGGGACATAGAATGCATAGTTTCTTGCAAAATCAAGATGTTATCAGTAATGTGTCTCTTTGGGACAAAACTCGACTGGTTCTAATGAATAAGATGGGTTATTAAAGTTTTAAGAAGATTGGCAATACATTTGGCAACAACTTTATACCCTACGTTACACAAACTTATAGGCCGAAATTGATTCATGGAACAAGGGGCTTCAGTTTTCGGAATCAGGACAAGAAGGGTAGAGTTAACTGCTCTAATGGCCTCTAGGTTCCTAAAACAAGAAGCAACAAACCTAGAGAAATCCACTCCCACAATATCCCACATCTTTTGGTAGAAGATCGCGTGAAAACCATCTAACCTCGTGGCTTTCAAACCACCAATGTTCATGACGATCTCCCTAACTTCATCCATCGAGGGTGTTAGCTCAACTCTAACAAGACCTTCACCATTAATCCTAGGAAAATCAGCAGGCAGAGAGACACTGGTCAAACCATTAATACAAGAAAAGAGGTTGTCGAAATACTCCCTGGTAAGTTAGAGAAGGTCTTCTGGATCCGAGATCCATATCCATTCTCATCTTTCAGCTTAGTGATCCGGTTTCTTTTCCTTCGTGTAAGGGTACTAGTGTGGAAAAATCTTGTATTCTTGTCTCCTTGCAACACCATCTTTGCTCTTGACTTTTGTCTCCATAGGAGCTCTTCCTGCCACAAGGTGTCCTCAAGCTCCTCTCTTGTAGTATGCTCCTGATTTCGACTAGCAATTGAAGGACCTCTCTCATTCCTAACTTCCAACTTGCCAAGACGATTCAGGAGTTGCCTCTTCCTTCTGAAAATATTCCCGAACACCTCTTTATTCCAGTCTTGAAGCTTCTCCGTAGGATCCTGCAAAAAAGGCAAGAAGCCAGTCCCAGAATTCCAGTAAGAGAAAACTAATTCAAAGAAATCATCATGGGCCAGCCAAAGAGCAAGGATTTAAAACCTTCTCACCAGGGGTGATTTGTTCTTCAACCTTTCATTATGAGTCAAAATAAGACGATGATCTGACTTAAGCTTGGGGATGTTGAAATTCATAGTATATGGATACTCTTCAATCCATTCAATGTTGCAAATGCGACTGTCAAGTCTTTCCTTTAACCCCGACTTCCTCGTAGCCTAGGTGAACTTTGGGTTAATGAAACCAATGTCCATCAACCCACAATCAGCGATACAGTCATTGAAAGTCTTCACTCTAGCAGATTGAACATAGCATCGCCCTTCTTCTCAGAAGGATGAGATCGAGTTGAAGTGATCGATGAGCATCCACGGCCTGTCCATCCTCCTTGCAAGCCTTCTAATGGAGGTACATGGATTTCCTCTTTCATGCTCGTTAGGGCAAGCATAAAACGCAGTCAAACACCCAACCTGTTTCCTCCCTATCCAAACAGACATACGGACAAATGCGCCTGTCAAGTCTTTCCTTTAACCCCGACTTCCTCGTAGCCTAGGTGAACTTTGGGCCAATGAAACCAATGTCCATCAACCCACAATCAGCGATACAGTCATTGAAAGTCTTCACTCTAGCAGGATTGAACATAGCATCGCCCTTCTTCTCAGAAGGATGAGATCGAGTTGAAGTGATCGATGAGCATCCACGGCATGTCCATCCTCCTTGCAAGCCTTCTAATGGAGGTACATGGAGTTCCTCTTTCATGCTCGTTAGTGCAAGCATAAAACGCAGTCAAACACCCAACCTGTTTCCTCCGTATCCAAACAGACATACGGACAAACTGCTTATCCTTGTCCAACTAATGCAGCTGTACCTGGTTGCTGCCCAAAGCACCGAAATTCCTCATCTGAACCCAACATCATTAGACACTTCAGATGAATCAAAACCAAGGGTATTGATGACCTCCTTGGCCTTAACACCACTAATCCGTGGCTCCAGAATGCAAACAATATTAGGGGAATTCTCAGACTTAAGCAAGTTAAAGGAAGGCTTGAAATTAGGGGGCATAGCACCTCTACGATTCCAGGATAAGACACTAATCATAGAAATGAAAAGAGAAAGTCCCCCTAAGCCGACCCCAAGGTCAGCAGCATCACTGAGGATCGACGCCCATAGCCATCCCATCCATGATTACCCCAACATCAGATAGACAATGGGCACTTTCTAGCCCTGACTTAACTTCGAGCTGATTTGCTTCAAAATCCAGTTTCCTAGAGTGGCTCCCGCTACTCACGGCACTGTCCGGAGGATTTTCCTTCACCGGTTGAGTCTTTCACTAAGTCTTAGCAGCTTTGGTCTTTTGTGAAAAAATCCCCTCCTCTTTTCCCCCAACCATTCCTTTCCCTGGCTTGGAAGTCGCTCTCCCTTGTGATTTGGGACTCAGCTCCTTCCGAGCAACCGTTGAGGAAGATGGGCCTTTCCCCTTTTCCTCATTGGAAACTCCTTGTTCGAGGATGACAAGTGAGGATTTCTGATTCTCCTTCTCGCTAAACAAAACATATTTCGTTCCCTTCTCTTTTGTGACCTTCCTTTCCTTGTTTCTAATGCTCTTCTTTCTTTTATTTTACCTTCCTTTTCTTTCTCAGGCCCTTCCTATAGGAAGGCTTGATCATTGTTACTGCTAGGTAAAGTCTCATAGTGGTGCTTCACTTCCATATCTTCTTCCTCTTCCTCAGAATCCACCTCTTCTGTTGCAAGGGCATCAAACCGTGAACCAACCTTCCCATTATCCTTAGATTTTCTTGTGGTAGCATCTTCTTCCTTATTCATTATGTTCTTGTGCTGTTGGACTCTTCTTCGCAGTTTAGAAGCCAGCATCCACGACCCGAAATCTTCTAAGATTTCTAGTCTAATCTCTTGCCTGACCCTCTGCGAGTTCCCTTCCTTGAGTTTATCTTCAGAGGGTGTAACGAGGATACGTCATCAGGCTACTTGTAGAAGCCAGTCACTACCATATTTGAACTTCTCTATCAAATCAGGGCTTAACTAGATAGGATCTTGAGT